TACATTGTATTGATCTTGCCCAAGGATAGAGGGACAGGTAAATGGATGGGCAGATGAAGAGCAGAAGAAAAGGCAACTGACTCTCACAGCCCTCAGTTAACTAAAGGGGTGGAGCTATTTAAAAGAATAAATGAGAGGCCGGGAGCAGTGGCTCAAGCCTGTAATCCCAGCACTTTGGGAGGCCAAGGTGGGAGGATCATGAGGTCAAGACATCGAGACCATCCTGGCCAACATGGTAAAACCCACTCTCTACTAAAAATACAAATATTAGCCAGGGGTGGTGGCACGTGCCTGTAATCCCAGCTACTTGGGAGGCTGAGGCAGGAGAATCACTTGAACCTGGGAGGTGGAGGTTGCAGTGAGCTGAGATCATGCCACTGCACTCCAGCCTGGTCAACAGAGCAAGACTCTGCCAAAAAAAAAAAAGAAAAGAATAAATGAGAGTGAATGGTAATTGGCTTTTCAGCAGTTACCAGGAAAAGGAAAAGGGAAGAGACGGAACTACTATTAATTATTAGAACTTGTATTCTGAAGCCAAGCTGCCTAGGTTCAAAGCTCAGATCCACACTTGCTGGATGACCTTGGTGCCACAGTTACCTCGTCTACAAAGTGGGAACATTATAACCTGCAAGGTCATTGTGAAAATTAAATGAGCTACATAAAATAATATGTGACGGATTTAGAACTTTGCCTAGTGGCTAGCAAGTGCTCAGTGAGTATTGGCTATCATTATTCACATTTTGTATGAGGACACTGAGGCCCAGAGAGGAAGATAATTGCTTATTCATTCATATTCATTCTCTCTCTCTCTCTCTCTCTGTATCTCTCTCTCTCTTTCTCTCTCTCTCTCTCTCTCTCTCTCTCTCTTTCTGAGACAGAGTCTCCTGTCACCCAGGCTGCAGTGCGGTTGCAACCACTGCCTCCTGGGCTCAAGGAATTCTCCTGCCTCAGTCACCTGAGTAGCTGGAATTACAGGCACGCACCACCATGCCTGGCTAATTTTTGGATTTTTAGTAGACACAGGGTTTCACCATGTTGGTCAGGCTGGTCTTGAACTCCTGACCTCATGATTCACCCGCTTTGGCCTCCCAAAGTGCTGGGATTACAGGTGTGAGCCACTGTTCCCGACCTGATCCGCATTATTTTTAAACTGCCATAAATATTTGTTGGATGAATGAATCTTACAATTATATTACTCAAGTCACCTTCTTCAAAGACCATGATAAATCCGTCTTAAAACTCAAGGAATTCCTAGAGAATATTGTTTGAAACATAATCATCATCATAATAATTTTTAAAGAACAAACAAAAAACTCAGAGACTTTATTTTATCTGACAAACTTCCTAAAATCCCATATCAGGTCTGAAATCCCATATCAGAAACCCTTGGATGTATTTCAGATGCATTTCAGAACTTGGAATTTTCCAATCTTACAGAGAACTGGAGTACGTGTACTTTACGCTCTGTAATCCTCCATAGGGGTCTGGGCTAGCGTCTCATGATTAAGCAGCCTAATAGTTCTGCACAGAGCTGCATGAATATTCACACCAATAAGACTGTAAACAGGCCAGCATCATCTCAGGTCAGAATCTGCGACCAAAAAAGTTCCTGCAAATAGAAAATTTCAGAATCTGGAGATTTGGGGACTTCAGAATGGCAGATAGGGCACAGTGACCTGTGATGCCCCCTCCTCCAGGCTGCTCTGAGGAGTCTGGATTTGTGTCTCACCAACGTTTACCAAGCGCTCACCATACAGGCACTGTTCTAAGCTTGTTTACATGAGTTGTCTCCGTTAGTTCTCAGAAGTAGATCAAAATAAGGCCTACAGAGAAGTAACCTAAAGTATGGAGCTGGAATTTAGCCTTCAGTGTGTGCGATTGGCTGATAAAGTTTTCCAGCCAGAGGGGTGTTACCAGTGTTCTTTTTCCTTCGTCCCTGACTTTTTATTTTTTGGTTATTTTCTTTTTTTAAGAGACAGGGTCTCTGTCACCCAGGCTGGAGTGCAGTGGTACAATCATAGCTCACTACAGCCTTGAACTCCTGGGCTCAAGTGATCCTTCCTCCTCAGCTTCCCAAGTAGCTGGAACCACAGGCATACCACCATGCCCAGCTAATTTTTGGTAAAGATGGGGTCTCATTATGTTGTGCAGGCTCTCAAACTCCTGGGCTCAAGCAATCCTCCTGCCTTGGCCTCCCAAAGTGCTGAGATTATAGGCATGAGCCATCATGCCCAGCCACAATCATACTTTCATAACAAGGTGTGTTAGTCCGTTTTCACGCTGCTGATAAAGACATACCTGAGCCTGGGAAATTTACAAAAGGAAGAGGTTTATTGGACTACAGTTCCACACGGCTGGGTAAGCCTCCCAATTACAGTGGAAGGCAAGGAGCAGGTCACATGTGGATAGCAGCAGGCAAAAAGAGGGCTTATGCAGAGAAACTCCCCTTTCTAAAACCATCAGATCCTGTGAGAACCATTCACTATCACGAGAACAGCACAGCAGAGACCCGCCCCCATGATTTAATTATCTCCCACTGGGTCCCTCCCACAACACATGGAAATTATGGGGGCTACAAGATAAGATTTGGGTGGGGACACAGAGCCTAGCCATACTGTTCTGCCCCTGGACCCTCCCAAATCACATATCTTCACATTTCAAAACCAATCATGCCTTCCCAACGGTCCTCCAAAGTCTCAACTCACTTCGGCATTAACTCAAAAGTCCACAATCTCATCTGAGACAAGGCAAGTTGCTTCTACCTATGAGCCTATACAATCAAAAGCAAGTTAGTCACTCCCTAGATACAGTGGAGGTACAGGCACTGGGTAAATAACAGCCATTCCAAATGGGAGAAACTGGCCAAAACAAAGGGGCTACAGGCCCCATGCAAGTCCGAAATCCAGCGGGGCAGTCAAATCTTAAAGCTCCAAAATGATCTCCCACCTGGTCCCTCCCACAGCACACGGGGATTATGGGAGCTACAAGATGAGATTTGGGTGGGGACACAGAGCCAAACCACATCACAAGGACTTTAAGTTCTTCAAGAAGTTTTACGGATATAGCAGAGTCCGCCTCTAACAACAGTAACAGTAACTTGCCAAGACAATTTCACCAAGATAATTTCTAGGCAGGCAAACAGAATCCTATTTTGATTAAAGCTTGGACAAAGGCAATGAACAGGCAACCCCAGGACCGCAGGGATTAGATCCAGGGATTAGATCCAGGTTAGATCCAGGGATTTTAGCTCAGTTTTGCAAACAGAGGGCCTCCTTTGGCTTTCCCAGTCCATCAGTCCCATTTGAGTCAATGCTTGTTAGGGAGCACCAGCCACGTACGAGGCACTGTGCAGGATGTGTTGGAGCTGGAAGCCAGGGAGTGGATGGAGAAGGCAAAGAAGGGCACTCCACACCTAAGATATTGCGTCGTGTGTTTAGAGAAGGCAGAGTAGTCAGCAAGGCCACAGCTGGGCTTATAGGCAGGTGATGGAAAACAGGGGCTGCAAAGAGTCTCAGGCTGAAACTGACATGCTCCGAATGCCAGCTGAGGGATGTGTGCCTTAGCCCCACGGTTCCGGAAGCCCCAGAAGGCGGTGGGACAGAGGCGCCCCAAGGACACTTGAGATCTTGTCTGTCTTCCTCACAACCATCTCCCCCACGCCTGGGACAGTACCTGGCACCTCTGTCAATGGAAAGAAACAATAAACAAATGACCTACGTTGGAGAACATCCTTAAATGTAGAGGATGGTGAAGGACTAAGTCAGGAGGCCCCCGTTAAGAACTCACAGCAATATGGAACCCAGGAGGCAGAGGTCACAGTGAACTGAGATTGCGCTACCGCACTCCAGCCTGTGCAACACAGCGAGACTCCGTCTCAAAACCAAAAACTCACAGCAGTCATCTGGGTGAGAACTGACCAGAGAAACAGCGGTAATGGATACGGAGAGGAGAGCACACAAGCAATCAACAGTGAGGGTGGGCTCAGCAAGACTTGTAGATTGATGGAACACAGTGGCCAAAGGGCAAGAGGTGTCTAAGACACCTGGCCAGTATCCTGGCGGAGGAGGGAGAAGGGGAATGGGCTGCTTGGGGGAAGAAACCTATAGGGCTTGGAGATGCAAGATGCCCCAGGCCCACCCCGGAGAACAGCATTTGCATCCTCCACTGAGAAAATATTGTGGGGAGGAGCTAGCGCGGGCAGTGAGAAGCAAACAGCGTGGAAAGTGAGAAAGAGCATGGCTACCGCAGCCTCCTGCAGAGGGCAGACAGCCTCCCTGTGGCTCTTTGCTCTGCTCCCCAGGCCATGCAGCCCCTTATTCAGAGACACAGCCCTAAGACAGAGGAATGGCTAAATAACAGGAGGGGAAGCAGGGGTGCAAGGGCGTGCAACTCATCGGGGTAGGGAGTGGTACCAAGCGGGGACCTCTGGCAGCAGCTGAGGTGTCAGAGAACACAGAAGACGTGAGGAGGGCCCATCTCAGCAGTGGGAGCTCACAGGGAGGTCTTCAAGCCGCATCTGAGCTAAGGCTGGCAGGACTGATGATGGATTCAATGCTTCATGGGGAGAGGGCCAGGGTGGCTCCTTTTCCCATGTATAGGCATAAGTTTTAGGTCTGGGTGATGATGTCATTACATTGGAGTTCCCTGAACCATGTTCCAGAAACTTTGGGAAGCTAGAAGCAGCCAGGGAGCTGCTCATGTCTGTGACACAGCCCCCACCCCTCCCCATCCTCTATAGATATAGTCTACAGGCCAGTGCAGGGGGCTCCAGGTGCCCAGGGCACGTGCTTAGCATGATCCTCCGACAGCCAGCCCTCAGATGGCACGTGGCTCCCAGCAGGGACTTTGAAATGCTGAAATCTCACCCAGCCACATAGGCCCCTTGGGAAGAATCCATACAAGGGTCTGCAGGCCCACCCTTCCCCTCAGGCTCACAGAGAAAGCCCGGGCGAAGAGGTGGACCACAAGTTCAACGTGCACAGGACCATAGCTTTGGGTCTGAAATTTATTGAGTGCCTATTATGTGCCAAGCTCTGTACTAGGCACTGGGGATACAAAGATAAATGTGACATGGTCCCTGACTTCAAGGACTTCACAGTTCATTGGAAAAACTGACATAAAACCAAATGATTAGAATGCCTAAGGCCATTCAAAGAATTGAATAAGCTGGGCATAAGTGGGTGGGAAAGACTGTCACCTAATCCTCACGCCAACAGCCTGGGAGAGGTGGTGTTGGCTCGTTTTACAGGTGAAGAAAGTGAGGTTACAGTGGTGAAAGCACTTGCCTCAGGTCACACTAGGAAGAGACACTGCTGGCAGCGTGCCGGAGTGTGCCACACAGCCTCGTGCGAGTCACTTCTGTGCTTCTCCCCCGACTCTTTGCTCTGGCTCAGCTCACTGGTAGCTTGAAATCTACCAACAGATGGGTCACAGAAATCAGCAAGCACTACCAAGCAGGGGATAGCCTGGATTCAGATCCCAGTTTGAAACCAAAGACTCCCTCCAGTCTCCCCCAGAACATTCTCTGAATTGAACCCCCACTCCTTCTAAAAAGCCTGCCTCCCCAGGAGACTCAAGAAGCTTGTCCCGGACAATACCAAAAAGACAATGGATATGGCCCACCTTGGGAGTCCCCAAGGGCTGTGCAACTCCGTCGAGTCACCGACCACCCTTCTGAGTGACTCACCTGCTCACCCTGCTGAGCTAGCATCTCAGCAGACACATGTGGGCCAGATAAGCCAGTGGGCCTGGGACGGGAGGGACAGAGCGGCCCAGGAGGAAGAGGAGGCTGGGACAGCGCGTCCCTGGTTAGTGTGATTCGCTGCTGAATCTCCGTCTCCCCCACCAGCTCCACAGGACTGTGGCTGGCCTCACTTATCCAGGGAGACCAGGTGCAAGCAGCACACCCGGGCGGCAGGGAGCCCCAGGCCAACACGTGTTGAGTGAATGAATGAGCTAGTGAAGGAGGCAGGAGGCCATCAACGCTGAGGGTGTACACCTGCCTCCCCCAGCATCGTCCACCCGCCCTGTGGGGAGGGAGGGGAGGCCGCAGGAGAGCTGGGCTGCCGGGGTAGAGCCCAGGTTCTGCTGCTCACTAGGTAACCTGCGCCTCAGCGTCCTCCGCCGTAAAACGGGGTCTGTGGCTTGTCCCGAGAACTAAATGAGTTAACGTTTGTGAAGCACCTGGCACGCAGTCAGCGCTGTGTGTTAAATCCGTAAGGAAGACCCCCCGCCCCCCACTCCCCAGATCACTCCGTCTGCGGGCAGAAAGCGTTTTCCCCTCTGCTCTTCCAAGGTGCGCGTTCAGCCCGTTCCACCCCGAGAGGGCTTCCCTCCTGGGGAAGAGAACCCCTGCCTTGCCCGAGCTCTGAGCGTCCTCCCCTTCCCCCCACCCGTCCCACCTCCAGCGTCCCCACCCACCCACCTCTGTCTCTCTGTAAGTGGCCCTGAGCCTCGTCTAGTCCGCCTGGCCCCCAAGCTCGCGGACGGCGCCCCAGCAGCCCCGCTGTGGTCTGGGGGTCCGGGGGGCCGCAGGCTGGACGCGCCGCCCCAGCCAGAGCCAGGGCCCGGCCCGCACGCCGCGGGCGCCACCCGGTGGCCAACTGCGGAATCGGCGGCGCAGGCGGCCTGCAGAGCCTGGAGGCCCAGAGGGTGCCCGGGCTGACAAAAGGGAGAGAAGGTGGAAGGAAGGGCGCAACACCAAAGGGGCTGTCGGTCACAGAGCAATTCACTCAGTGATCAGGAGGCAGTCCAGGAGGCAGTGATCCGCGAGCAGGGTTGCATGGGCGCCGGCGGGCAGAGCCTGCAGGGGCCCTTTCTCCCTATGGGTTAGACAGCCCCTCCCCAGAAGTGACCCCTCCCATAGGATAATCTTTGGCAGGAGTCTGAGGTTCCTGCTCCTGGAATCCCTGGCTTCCCTGTGCCAAGCGCATTACACCCACAGCGCCACAGCTATGGGCTGATGAGAAGACAAACACGGGACTCTACACCCTGACGCTGGAGCATATATATCCTCGTTCCCTGGCTAGGGTCCCTGGGGAATAGCATTTGGCGGAGAGTCCAGGTTCTAATCCCAGCTCTGCCCTGACTCTACGTGTGCCCTAGCCCATCTGTGCCTCGATGTTCCCATCTGTGAAAAAAAGGATGATAAAAATAAAAATCCACCCAACTTCTCTCCCGGAGGTGAGGAGGTAAGGCTTACACGAAATAATGCCGATGAAAGCATTCTGAAGATCAAAACCCAGGGCATTCAAAGTTTCTGATCCATGATAACTTTAGTAACCAGTTGAATACAAGGAAATACAAATACACTTACTCAAAAAGTAAGCCCCTCAAGTTCTGACATTAAAAACTCCTTAAACAAGAGACTTTCATTTGGAGGGGAAAGAAAGGAGCATGCAGTTGAGATCCAAAAATACAAAGTTCCATATGGGGAATTTAAATGATCTTAGGATTTTACTATATAAAATTTAAAGGCAGCTCGCTCTTCAGGAAACTAGTAGAATAGACATTACAATCCCCAAAGATGTCCAGAGGACAAAGGAGGAGCCCAGAGTTAACTAGGGTCCGACTTGATCTGCTTCAAACACAGAATCACAGAACCTCACGGTGACCTAGACATCCCAGCAGGCACCAGCCTCTACGCAGAGTGCACATGAACACTTCCACCCGGCCACGTGTGCGGGCTCTTCCTTGTACAAGAACAAATCCACCTACAGGCCGTATTCTGATAGCCACAGGTGGAACCCAGGCCCCTGGCTATTGGCCCAGGATCATGAGAACAAAGCTGTCCCCCGCTTCAGAGTTCAAACCTGGAATCTCAAGGCAGGATGAGAATTGACCCCAGAGTGAGGGAGACAGGCAGCCCTGGCCCAATCTCTACCCCACAAAAAAATGCAGCGAGCCAAACTTCATTCCCTCACCGCCTGTATACCATGGGCAGCAGCTGCGGGGGGAGTGAGAGCACCCGCTTCAGGAGAGAGGGTTGGGACAGCTCTGGCAGGGCAGACCCGAGCGAGGGATTTCAGCTCCTCTGATCAGCACGTCTCCTAAAAGTCCTTTTTGACACGCAGGGTCCTTTGCTGATCCTAGCAGTCGCCCCCTCTTCCCTTCCCCCTCTCTTACTGTCTTCCTCCTGAAGTAGAGAGGGTTGCATACACCATCACAGCCTATGTATTTCTGCTTCACCATGTTCTTGTCCCAATTTGTTCTGTTCCTCAGGCTTTTCTCTCCCTTGCAGCACATGTTGCCGTGCAATATCTATTTTCCCTGTGGCCTTCCAGAGCGCCAGGATCTCTGGGAGTGAACCTTGACAGGCGCCTCCTCTGAATCCCCCAAGCCCCGTGGGTCATCAGTTTTCAATGAGCTCTACGTGCACTTGCACAGAGGCAGGCAGAGGGATGAGACCCCTAGCAGCCAAGTGGACGGCAGCACTCTGATTCAATTCTCACCCTGTTTAGAAGTTCCAGGTCCTGGATTCTGAGGTGAGGGGCAGACCCAGCCTCACGGTAGCAGTATGGGTTTCAAATTAATTCAACAATTCCGTGTTGCTCTTAGTCTGGCTTCGGCACTGTGCTGGGTGTTGAGGAACTTCAAAGGCAGGATGAGAAGATCTCATGACTCCCTCACCTCCCGTTTCATTCTGACCCAAGGAAGAAGAGCATTCATCTGATTGGTCAGATTTCAGGACACTGACTGACATATTTGGAAGTGGGTGTGGTCACTATGCATAAAAGATGAGCTGAGGATGTGGCTGCAGAGGGTCTCTGTTCACCCAGCAGAGAAGATGTGCTTCACTGGCCCAGGCGGAGGCAGTTCCTTGTCCTTCCATGTGGCTGGCCAGAGCACAAGAAGTGCAGAGATCTGGGGAGAACAGGGCCCCCATGCTTAGCCCAGCCAACCCCAGTTCTCTGCATGGATTTATGGTCCAAGCCCAGCTACCAGCAAAGGTGACTCTGCTTCCTCCCCTGTTCTTCCTCTAGGGCTCCTTCCGGGACTTTGCGGGTAGTGGTTGCCAGGGTCTAGGTCTGCCTAAATGCCCTAGCCCTTACACATGGATTAGCACCTCAGTACTGCCAGTAGCTTTGATAAGGAGCCATCACCCTCCAGCTCAGCAGGGAGGCTGGCACAGTGCTGCAGGAGGAGGGAAGGGCTAGAATATGGTTTCATCAGGGACTTGGGAAAAGCTTCACAGACATGGCGGAGTCTCACACTGACCTTGAAAGATACATAGGATTCCGTAGAAAGTTGGAGGCATGGCAAAATTGGAAAATGGGATCCAATTAAACTAAAGAGCTTCTGCACAGCAAAATAAACTATCATCAGAGTGAACATCAGAGCACTGCCTCCTCCTGGAAGCAGCCCCTGGGTCCTACAGTCAGACGTAGTCAAATGCCCTTCTTCCCCAGCACAGCTTCTCATTCACCTCCATCCTAACGCTTGGGCCGGGTGAGCTGCAGTTAGTGCTTCACTGCTCTGCTTCCCCAGTCTTCCCAAAGCCTTTTGAAGACAGGTGTTTCATTTATCCAACATGTATGCAACAATATTTCTTAAGCACCTACTATGTTCTAACTCCCCGGTGCTGAGAACTCGCTGTGGAGCAAGGAATGCTTGGTCCAGTGGAGGCAGAAGGTGGCCGTTTGATCCGACACGGGGCTAGCTCTCCCCGACTCTTTATTCCTCACCACTAGCAAAGCCTAGCACAGAGAAGACCCTAAACAAGTGATGGTGGAGGAAAAAGAGGACATGATGGTTGAGACGTGTTGCAACTAGGAACAGAGGGCTGGAGCTCAGGAGAGGTGACCACGTAGAAGGGATAGTTTTGGAATTCCGCCCTGCTCATCTATAAGTTCATGTGAATTGCATTAAACCTGATGTGGAGAGCCCGTGGGGCTCTTGGACCTTAAAGGAAACGTGAAGAAAATGAGCAGTCCTCGTCCGCGTTGCCCCTGCACTCCCAGCACCGCTTGCAGGAACAGGAGACAGACATGTCCCTGGCACAGGGAGGCTGCTCCCACTCAGAGCACATCTGTTGAAGGGATGAGGACACGAGTCTGCCTGCACCCTAAGGCCAGGCATCAGCTGAGCATCCAATGCTTACACTACAGAGAGCTGCTGTCCAAGGAAGAGTGAGAGACAGTGGGGAGGGGCGCAGCTGCCTCCATGCAGTGTCCCAGCAGCAAATCACGTCCGCAGGCTGGAGACCCACCAGTGACTTTCTTCTCTTCCTAATTCAATGCAAGATTTCAGATCCATCCGAGTGCCTGTGGCACGGAGAAAATTAAATGTAGATCCCAAAGTGACATTGAAAATGGAACGAGCCTATTCTGAGCATCATTTCTGCTGGTCCTAAAAAAGAATTATCCAAATTCTCACTGAAGAGCTCCCCTTCTGGCTCCCTGGGGGAAGCCAGCCCAGGTGAGGGCTCCTTCACTGTAGCGCAGCTCTAAAATGCACTGCGTAAGTTCTTGTGGACAAATTGCCACTAGGAACAGCTTCTAGTTATCTGAAAACACTTTCAAGTAAACAAGCCCATCCCAGTCAAATTGCATGGCTTAGCTTTGGAGGTTTCTGCACTTCTGAGCCCTTTTGCCATCCCAGCCCCACCCCTACAGTGCCTACAACCTTTAGCTCCTCCTCCAATGAGGATTCTAGACCGAAAGATCCATGCGGCAGGGGCCATGCCATGGTTCACTACCACAACGTCTAGTACATCTCCTGGAACATAGCAGGCCCTTGCTAAGCACTTGCTATGTGGATTCAACACCTCCCTTGTATAAGATATAAAGATGTATAGGAGGCTGGGCATGGTGGCTCACACCTGTAATCCTGGCACTTTGGGAGGCCGAGGTGGGTGGATCACCTGAAGTCAGGAGTTTGAGACCAGCCTGGCCAACATGGTGAAACTCCATCTCTACTAAAAATACAAAAGTTAGCTGGGGGTAGTGGTGTGCACCTGTAATCACAGCTATTCCAGAGGCTGAGGCAGAAGAATCACTTGAGGCTGGGAGGCAGATGTTGCAGTGAGCTGAGATCATGCCATTGCACTCCAGCCTGGGCAAGAAGAGTGAAACTCCACCTCAAAAAAAAGAGAGATATATAGGATACGTTTCCCACTTTTAGGCCCATCCTCCTTCTTCGGACACAATCTG